TTGCTGAGTCAGAATGTACTGAATTTGAAACCAAGAGATTGTCTAATATTGAATAATATCAGCTTATGCCATTGAGATAAATGGACTTTTCAGTGATTCTTTCCATTCTCCAAATGGCAAGGAATGTGGGTGTCTTTATATGGAAACTTTTCTTATCTTTTCATTTGAAAGGGGAAAAGTTAAGCTTGTTTGAGATTAGTTGAAATGTCAATGGTAGATTCTGTTTTGTTTATTCCAAATAGTTCCTTCAGGCAAGTGGTTGTTCTACAGTTGTCTTACTTGTCAAAACAGGGATTGTTTATAATTTATTTGATGATTTCCCTTTGTTTCAAAATAAGAAGAATGAATCTAGACTGCTCTGTGTTTTTGGAAGTAAGTGTTCAGGATTCTTACTGGAAGCCAAACATGTATATATTTGTCTATGGTTACTGCTAAATTTTGGGCAGTGGGGCTGACCCTGTGGCTCACTCGGGAGAGTGTGGTGCTGGGAGCGCTGCGGCCGTGGGTTCGGATCCTATATAGGGATGGCCGGTGCGCTCACTGGCTGAGCGCGGTGCGGATGACACCAAGCCAAGGGTTATGATCCCCTTACCGGTCACAGAAAAAAAAAAAAATTTTGGGCAGTGGAATTGACCTGCTGGGTAGAGTGTGTTTTCTGATCCACAGGAGCAGGGTAGTAATCCAGTACCCACAAATGATTATAGAACCAGAAAATGTTGGCAATGAACAAATGTGTATTTGTTGAACAAAAGTCAGAGATTGAAGAGGTCTTAGAGATGGTGTTAATCATTCTTTAGTCCTGTCTATCACTATTCTTGAGGTATAGTGATGAATATGACAGACAAAGTTCTTGTCCTTGAACTTATAATCTAGTTGGGGTAGGTTGGGGGGTGAGATAAACAAACCATGTATGATGATGAAGGGGAGATTGTTCAAAGATATAGGGGATGAGCATTACTAGCATAAGAACAGTAAAACAAAATCCTCAAGGCAGGAAGAGATGACAAAAGAAAAGCCAGTGTAGCTGGAGCACAGAGGATAGAGGGGCCTTGAGGGTGAATACTAGAGAAAAGAGAGAAATGAGGTTAGAGAAATAATCAGAGGCTAGATTATGTAGGGCCTTATATGCCATGGTAAAGATTCAAGATTTTTATTATTTTTGTAAAAGGAAGCCATTGGAGAGATTTAAGTAGAGGAATACATCTGAATTATTATTTTAAAAAGATTGTTTTAACTGCCATGTGGAGTGTCTGCATTGAGGCAAGGGATTGGGGAGGTGGGGAGAGAAGAATGGAGATTGTTAGGAGGCTGTGAATTGTTGAGTGTGGTGGTGATTTGCACGAGTGTTTTAGTGGGAATGGTGGGATGTGGTCAATTTTAAGACATGTTTTAGATGTTGAGTTGTCAGGACTTATTAGTAGATTGGATGGAGTATATGAAGGTGTATTAGTCTGTTTTCTGTTGCATATAGTAGAATATCTGAAACTAGGTAATTTATGAAGAAGTGAAATTTATATCGTATGGTTTTGGAGGTTGGGAAGTCCAAGGTCCAGGGGGTACATCTGGTGAAGGGACTTCTTGGAGGGGGCTCTGTACAGAGTCCTGTGGCAACACATGGTATCTATCACATGGTGAGAATGGCAAGAGCTAGTGAGTTAATGTGCTCACTTGCTGTCCTTAGAAAGCCATTGGAACCACTCCTTTATAACCCATTAAACTGTTAACCCATTACTCCATGAATGGGTTAATCCATTCATGAGGGCACAGTCCTTAACTATCCAATCACCTCTTAAAGGCTTTGCCTTTCAAATACTATTATTGGATTTCCCATCCTCTTAACATTGTTACAATGGGTGTCAGGTTTCAATAAATTTTGGGTGACATTCAATTCACAGCAGATGGAAAGAGATTAGGAATGATTCCTGGGTTTTTGGTTTGGGCAACTAGATATTGCCATTAACTTTGATGAGATGGGTGGCTGGGTGGGGAATTTGGGGAGGAAAAGATTTGGGAGTGGAAATAGGTTGGTAATAAATGATTTTTTTTTTGCTGTGTTAAATTTGAGATTGCTTTTAAAAATCCAGTTGGAGGTGTTAAATAGTAGCTGGATATTTGAGTGTAATGCTCAGGGAAATGCTCTGGATTGTAGGTATAGATTAGGAAGTTAGTATTGTGTAGATGATATTTTATTTTATTTTATTTTAAAATTTATTTATATTTTATTTATGTTTTATTTATATTTACATGTATTTATTTTAACATTTTGTTTATTTAAAATTTATTTTATTAATGTATTTTTTTTTTGTCTTTTTTCGTGACCGGCATCGGATCGCAACCCTCAGTGTTGCGCCTGTACCGGACCGGGACCGGCAATGGGATCGCAAACCTTGGTGTTGCTCCCGCACCTTGCTCAGCCAGTGAGCGGCCGGTCTGTATGTGGGATCCGAACCCTCGGTGGGAGCGCCGCCGCGCTTCCCAAGCGGCGCACTGTAGCAGTGCGCCACCGGGCCGGCCCTTATTAATGTATTTTATACATTTTAATGGGATAGAGGTTGTTGTTTCAATACATGTGTTTGTATATGGTCTAATGAGAACAGTTAGCATATCCATCACCTAAACATTTATCACTTCTTTCTGATTATAACGTTCACAATCCTCTTTTCTGCCTATCTTGAAATGTGCAATACAATGTTATTAGCTATTGTCAGTCACTCTAGAGCACCAGAACTTATTCAATTTATTCTTCCTATTTAACTGTAACTTTGTAATTTTATACCTATTGACCAACCCGTTGACCCCATTCTCACTCCCCCTTCCTCCTTCCCTTTTCCCTTCCCAACCTCTGGTAACCACTATTCTACTCTCTTTTTCTACGAGAACAACTTTTTAAGATTTCACATATGAGTGAGATGGTGTTTGTCTTCTGTGCCTAGCTTATTTCACTTAATATAATGGCCTGTAGGTTCATCCATGTTGCATCAAATTGCAGGATTTTGTTCTCTCTTTCTCTCTTTTTATTACAGTAAATATATATGTATATATATTAAGATAAGCTTTGGTATTTTAACCATTTTTAAACATACAATTCTTTGGAATTGATCACATTCCCAGTGATATGTGACCATCACTTCTATTTCCAAAACGTTTTCATCATCCTAAACGTAAACTCTGTACCCATTAAACAATAATTTCCCATTATTTTTTCCCCGTATTTGGTAACCTCTAATCTACTTTCTCTGAAAATTTTTTTTCTTTTTCTTTTTTCTTAATTGACCCATGATAATTGTATACATTTATGGAGTACAGTGTGATATTTGGGTATGTTTATACAGTGTGCAGTGATTGCAACAGGGTAATTAGCATATCCATCACCTTAAACGTTTGCCATGTCTTTGTGTTGGGAAGGTTCAAAATCCTCTCTACTAGCTACTTGAAGTTGTATAGTAATTTGTTGTTGACTGTAGTGTCTCTACAGTCCTATAAAACACTAGACCTTATTCTTCCTATCTTGCTGCAATTTGTATCCATTGATCACTCTCTCCCCATTTCCCCTCCTCCCTCCTCTTACCAGTCTCTAGTAACAACTATTCTACTCTCTACTTCTATGAGATCAACTTCTTTAGCTTCCATATATGAGTGAGAACATGTGGTATTTCTCTTGCTGTGCCTGGCTTATTTCACAACATAATTTTCTCCAAGTTCATCCATGTTGCTGCAAATGGCAGAATTTCATTATTTTTAATGACTGAGTAATATTCCATTGTGTATATATACCACATTTTCTTTATCCACTCTAGAGTTGCATTTTAAAGCCATGAGATTTGATGTCACTGCTTGGTGAGAGAGCATAGATGCAGAAGAGAGGAGGTTTTAGGAATATTCAGAAATGTAACAGAGGAGGAGAAGCCAAGAAAGATTGAGAAGACATGTCAATGAAAGATTAAAAACCATGTTAGAATGATATCATTAAAATCTATAGAAGAGTGTTGAAAGAAAGAGTGAATATTAAACCATAGCAAATGCTGCTATTAGGTGGAGTAAAATGAATATACTCTAGTAAGTTAAGCAAGTAGAAAGGAGTTTTGCTGGGAAGGGAAGCAGAGAAGCAAGATGGTAGCTGGAAGGGGATTGTGTAGTTATGGGCAGATTTTTAAAAGTCATGTTTGTATACCCATGAGAGTGATCCAGCAAAGAGAAAAAAATATGATGCCGAGGAGGGAAAAAGGGGAATAGGTGCAGGAGTAAGTTCTTGAGACGACAAGAATTGACTTCAGATAAGAGCTTAGAACACTTCTTCCATTGTTACAGGACAGTGAACAGAGTGGGAGTTATAGATGTAAGTAGGTGGGTTGATTTTAGTGGGGGAAGAGGAGATATTTCTTTTTTTTTTTTTTTCTGTGAAGTATGTAGTAAGCCCATCAGGTGAGAGTGAGGAGGTGAACATTTAAGCAGAGGCGAACATTTAAAGTTCCCACACAAAGATATTTTGGAGATTGCAAAGTGATTTTTTTTTTTTTTTGAGGGAGAGTGAGGGTACAGTAGTAGTAGAATTATTTAGTAGTATTGAGTGCCTAATTTAGATTTATAGTTATATATCCATACTCAGTCTAGACAGCACAGCTATGTGATTTTTCTCTAGCATTGTTCAGTTTCTTGGGTGTAGTCAAGGAGTAATTGGATAGTTGGTTTTAACCAAAATTGAGTTTCTCTATACTAGTTAAATTGAGAAAGAAAGTTACAAGGAAGTTGTAACTTTCATTTTATGATGGAGAATTCTGTGATGAATATTGTCAAACATTCATATATTTTTGAATGAATGAGAAAACAAAATTTTAGATATTCTTAGACAACATTCATATAACCTTTAGACAATGTTAATACAATTGAATTACTTTGTGGTTTATGCACCCAAGATATCTAATTTCCAAAGAAATTTGCTTCTGGGTTTGTAATTCTATTTTTCCTTCTTAGAAGTAACTTCATGCTATTTTTTTTTAAAGGTCTGTTTATGATGGGGAGGAACATGGACGATTCATGGAGAAGCTTGAAACTCGCATCCGCAATCATGACCGAGAAATTGAAAAAATGTGCAACTTTCATTACCAGGGCTTTGTAGATTCTATAACTGAACTGCTGAAAGTGAGAGGAGAAGCCCAGAAACTCAAAGTAAGCATATTTACTCTAAGAGACACTTGTTTCTTTGTCCCATGCTGGGGTTAGCATTAAAGGAGTAGGGTCTGTCTACATTGCAGGTCACATATTTGTAGTAAAGATTTTTGTGTAGTGAGAAAGGAATTTTAACTGAAATCTAGGTAATTGAGATTATGGCTTTTTAGCTAAAAAGAACACCCTTTGAAGCTAGAATTTAATTGGGATAACAAAACAAAACCAGTGATTAGTAACTGTTTCTTTTAAACGGAAACTCAGTTTGACACTTCATATCACTTGCTTCCTTGTTGGATTAAAGCTATCACTGTAGGGTGACAAAATCTCAGGGCATTGCTGTGGAATTCTTTGCAGCATGGAACCTAGGCCAAAGGAAAAAAGTTAGTGGTAGTTGTGGAGGGTCTTTAACCAAAGCATGATGGTTCTTTCTTGATGTGACAGATTCAGGTTCAGGAAGAAGGCTAGTTACATTGGTCTGGTCCCTGGCATAACAAATTCACTTGGATAACTGACTTTGCTTATTGATCTTAAATCTAACTACTCACTAAACTCTTTAGTTATTTCCAATAATTTATTGTAATTTTTTTTTGAGTTTTCTATGTACACTCCTCATATGATCTGTAGATAATAACAGTTTTATTTTCTTCTTTCAAGTCCTTATACTTTTAATTTTTTTAAAATTAAAATTTCTGTTAAAGTCCTAAAAGGATTTTTCTGGGCATGGAATTAACTTGACAGTGAGTGTAAAATTCGTCTAAAAGAATACATTGGTAAGAAAAGCAAAGAAACAATTTTATGGGGAGTATTATGTGATATACAGTATGTACCTTATTATCTTTATAAAATTTCCAGAATTCCTAGGTCCAAACACATTGGGTCCCAAGGTTTTGAAAAAGTGTTTATGGACTCGTACACAGTATCCAACCATCTTAAGAAATACAGTATTTCCAACACAATTAAATCTCTCTTGTACCACTCTCAGTTGCTTTCTCCACCCCAGAGGTAAAAGGTATGTTGATTTGTTATTAATGTTCTGTAATGCTTAACTATTTTAATTTAAAGTAAGTTAGATTCCTTCTTCATTCAACACACTAAAATTAATTTTAAAGGAGCTGAAGAGTTAAATGTATAAAATAATAGCATAAAGGAACTAGATGAATATTTATATGACTATAGGAGTGGGGAAAAATTCCTACACAAGAAAGAAAACACTGATAAGATATAATGACATTAAAATGAAAGAACCTTTTTTCTACATACTAATTAAAAATTAAAAGACAGTAAGTCAAAAATATTTATAAATTCATATGGCAGCTGTTTGGCATCCTTAATATATAAAGATTCTTTACAAGTTAATAAGAAAAATATGAACATTCTAATAGTAAATTGAGAAATACACATTAACATATAGTTTGTGTAAGAAGAAATACAGGGAGGTCTACAATTTAGAAACAATTAAAGGAATGAAAATTTAAACAATAAGGTGCCACTTAAAATAACAAAGGTGAAAAAATGATAATATTTGCAACTGGTGATGATACAGAAGTGGGATTGCCTGGTTGGAGTCTAGTTTGGTACAGCCTTTGAGGAGAGCAAATTTATTAATACTTAAAATATTTATCAATACTTAATACTCTTATTTTAAGGTTGTAGGTGCATATATAAGAAATATTCATATGATTTTTTAATAATAGTAAAAATTTGGGCCGGCCCGGTGGCGCACTGCTACACTGTGCCGCTTGGGAAGCACGGCGGCGTTCCCGCCGAGGGTTCGGATCCCGCATGCAGACCGGCCGCTCACTGGCTGAGCGAGGAGCGGGGGCAACACCGAGGGTTGCGATCCCGTTGCTGGTCCCGGTCCGGTATGGGCGTGACACTGAGGGTTGCGATCCGTTGCCGATCACGAAAAAAGACAAAAAAAAAAAAATAGTAAAAATTTAAAAATGTCCCTAAAAATCATTTAATAGAGTATTACTAAGAGAAATTATGGTACATCCATTTGGAAGAATAAACTACAATATTTGAATGATATTTGACATAGGAAAGTATTAGAAATGTTTGCTTAACGTGTAAAGCAGATTAAAAAGTATGAACAATGTGATCCTATTTTTTATAAACTAAATATGCACATTCTTTATATGTAAATAAATAAGCATTAAAAATGATTGGAAGGGCTGGCCCGGTGGCGCACTCGGTAGAGTGCGGCACTTGGGAGCGCGGTGGCGCTCCTGCCGAGGGTTCGGATCCCATATAGAGACCGGTCTGCTCCCTGGTTGAGCATGGTGCGGGCGCGACACCGAGGGTTGCGATCCCATTGCCGGTTGCGGTACGGGCGCGACTCTGAGGATTGCGATCCTGTTACCGGTCACGAAAAAAAAGACGAAAAGGAAAAAAAAAAAAGATTGGAAAACTGTACACCAAAATGTTTTCAATTATCTCTGGATAATAGATAATTTAAATATTTTGTTAGTGTCTTTTCTTTGTATTATAAGTTTCCTGCAGTTTCAAGTGAAAATTTTGAATGTCAGAAAATTCAGTATTGTAGTGTACACACTAAAACATAATTTTTATTCAATGTGGGAAAATAAGTAAGTTAGTTTAAATCTAGGTAAAAAATGATGAAGACCTAAAACTAAGGAGATGGCAAGGAAGGGGCAAATTGCAGAGATGCTTATGAGATAAAGTATCTCTGGAATAGAGGCCATGACTCCCAGGTTTCTGTTTTGGGGGACTCAGTACTTTGTAGTTTTAATCACTCATGTGTGGAATAAAATAAGGAGGGCCAGAATCTTATGAAAAGTTCAGATCCTTTCCCTAAAAAATGTGTACAAGTATGGAAAAATAAATTGAGAACAAATTCAAATGACTTCAGAGAGAAGCCCTGAGAGAAGAGTAATTCCTCTAGGTTGTGCTTTCCATCCTCTTTATTGTCATGGCACAAACAGAAAGTGATATTTGAGTGGTGGGCACATAGGGATAAACTAAAAGGGATTTGGCAGAATATGGGGCTTGATGAAAAGAATCTTTACATTTTCTTTATGCATTATAATAAGAAAAATGAGATATAGAGGATCAGGACATATTAAGAATAGATGTAAGTTTTCCAAAAAACTCTTTATCACTTTAAAATGGGAAACTTGAACTTGCTAACATGAAATAACTTTTTAAATATTCAGTTTTATGCTTAAAATTACTACATGGAAATGTGATCAAGACTTTTAAAATATGACCTCTTTGAATTCTTCATAGGCACTATTCAAGAGAACCTTTTCTCAGAAGTAGCTGATAAAAAAATTTAACTATTTATTGCCATTGAAAATGTCCACCATTTGAGATTATATTAAAGAATCTTAGTGCTTTTTAAAATGTATTGGTCCAAACATTTGTAATACTGAAATTTTGGGGGCTGATTAGCCTCAAATGGACAAAAGTATCTGAAATGTGTGAAAACAAAGATATAGGGGTTCCTGCCAGGAGCTGTGTGTGTATTTGTTCTCACCCAGCCTTCCAGCTTCCCTTCTTCATCTTGGGCTGTTCTTTTCTATGCTTCTTGGACACCTGTATCCCGAACTTCTGTCATAGCTACTTGGGACCCTGATCCATTATGGGCAGGAGGGTGCTCTGTCTCTGGTTCTTGAAGTGGTCATGTGGTGGAATACCTTCTTGGCAGAGTAGTACTGAATATAGCCCATAATACTCACCAATTTCTGTTTGATTTTCATCTTCTCTTCCTTTTACTTTCCTCCTCTTCCTTCAAAATGCAAATTATTTCAAAATTGCTCAAGATGCCCCCGAAGGAATGCCTGAGTGGAGGCTACCATTTCAGGGGTTTTGGCTGCATCAGGCTCCACCTGGTTACTCTGGGGGCTGAAGGGGATTAATGTCTAGCAGCATACTTGGGAGGCTCTGCCCTAGGAGGATCCATTTGACCTAGATTAAGAACCTATGAAATGTAGAGTTTACTGAACTCTAGAAAAGAGTTTAGAAAGTGGAAAAGGTTAAGTATTAAGTACTGTCTATACTTTTTAAACCTAGCAATGAAAAGAAACTATGTTGTCTAGGATGCCCATTATTTTTCATTAGCAGCATGCATATATATATATACACATACATACATTGGGTATGTGTGTGTGTGTACATATATGTATGTGTGTGTTTATGTATGTATGCATATACACACACTCATATTTATGTTCTTCGAATCAGAAGAAGTAGCATCCTAGGCAGTCAGTATAGTTTCTTTTTGTTTTGTATTAAAATAGTTATTATCTTTCTTACCAGAGCATTGATTAGGTTCCTGTGGATATGTTTTACAACCATGGTTTGCGTGAAATCAATTTAGTGGGCCTTGATCAGTATTTTTAACAAAAACTAAAATTAAATAGGATTGAGTAGAAAATAAAAGTGTATTACATGTAGTAAGGATAAACATAGTTTCTTGAAAATTGTGTGTATGTATATGTGTGTGTTTTCTATATTTGTGTACTGAGTTGCAATGGAAAATGTATTTTTTACGAGTTTGAGGTAAGAAAAAAAAAAAGTGGGAAATTGTGTCCTCATAAGGTAAATAGGGCTACTCTAGTAGAGAAATGATGCTGAATTTAGGATTATTCATGGAGGATTGAATTTTAG